ATGATTTGTTCTGCAATTGCTGCTGTGTGCCATTACAATACCAAGCACCAGGTAATGCAATGATCTCTTAAGGTTGCATTATCACTTCTGCTCGGACACACAGACAGCGTAAGTAATGGAAAATAATCATACCACCAGCACACAGAAGTTGCTGCAAACAGCAAGGGTGGCCTGTATACAAACTGAGTGAGAAGCATGCTGGATTAACTGAAGGAGAGTAAAATATACACTAGTCCCCACAAAAGATGAATCTGGCCACCAGGTATTAATCCCCAAAACCCACAGTCGTTCCCAGTTTATATGGCTTTGCCTTTAAACACTGCATGCACTGCTTGAATCAGAAAGGGGGACTTGTCCACAAAGAATTCCTGCTCTGCTGGTACAGACAGTGCCTGCTGCCTGTCTCTAAAGACCCAAAGCCCTGTGGCACAGTCTGAAGTGCACCACTGCCCTTTATACTGGACTGCCACTGTTTTTTGGTGTGTTTAAGGTACAACTGAAGTTAATAACTTCTTTCAGCACAAGTCTGTAGAATCAAGAATGAGAAAGCATCAGCGTGATGATTGCTCACACAGTCTCAGCACAGCACCCTTGTTCTTATGCAGTATGATAGGGATGTTCCTTCCATAGACATCTTCCTCAGGGCAGTACTCGCTCAATCAAGGAGTAATTATTTAACCACAGTGTCATCTCCTTCACACTCCCATTAAAGAAAATCTTATGCAAAAAGGTAAGAGCTTGGCTACGAGTCCTTGGCCCAAATATCCTCTTACCCATGCTGAGCTGCTTGCCAGGTCATCACTGTTTGTACTTCAGAAGTCTGCAGCACACAGACCGTGCCAAATCCGAAGAACTCTCATTAAAAGAAAATCCTTAAGCCTAACAGTAGGAAGTGCTCTCCATGCTTTGCTAATCTTGTCAAACTATACTGTACAGACAATTACAATTAATAAAAGTACTCTTAGGAAGCTTATTGACAATTCTGGAGCCATTGGCTTCTCTGCTTCAGGTAGACTCACATGAGGAAAACAGCAGGAAGTAAAAATTTCTCTTGTTACACTTCAGTTCCTCACAAACACAAAAAGGACTTCCCCAAGGCAAAGTGCCCCACTCCAGGCAGCAATTTAAGTGGTACAGATGTACCCAGGAACACCAGCTTCAATTTCTGCCTACCCAAGGGAAATACCTTTACTACCAGCACCTAAGCTTTTAACCACAGAAAAACACAATCCTTTTCTGCATTACTTACTTAAAGGCTTTTGAGGTGTTTCTTCTGAACGAATGAACAGAAAAAGCTCACCAGATCCAAGAACATCTGACAAAATACTTGTGTTGTCAGCAGTCAATACAGAGATGTGGAATAAAGTGGCCCACTCCTTCACTGCATTTTGCACCTACTACTGTTTGTAACTCCTCTGACTTAAAGCAGTGGTTCCCAGATAGGCCACTGAATGACTATTCAGTCACAGGTAAGTACCTTTTAGCACATGCCTATTTTGACAAAACCATAGTCATATCCAAAATTCTTTTGGTGAACAACACTCATCAAGTAAAAGATTTACTGAATTAGAATTCATGTGTAAAGTGTTCAACACTGTCCCACATGACATCCTTGTCTCTAAATTGGAGAGACATCAATTTGATGGATGGACCACTCGGTGGATAAAGAACTGGCTGGCTGGCCACACGCAAAGAGTTGTCAATGGCTCAATGTCTGGCTGGAGACCAGTAACGAGTGGTGTCCCTCAGGGATCGGTGTTGGGACCGGTCTTGTTCAACATCTTTGTTGCTGACATGGACAGTGGGATTGAGTGCTCCCTCAGCAAGTTTGCCGATGACACCAAGCTGTGTGGTTCGGTTGATACACTGGAGGGAAGGAATGCCATCCAGAGGGACCTTGACACACTTGTGAGGTGGGCTGATGCCAACCTCATGAAGTTTAACCATGACAAGTGCAAGGTCCTACACCTGGGTCGGAGCAATCCCAGGCACAGCTACAGGCTGGGCAGGGAAGAGATTCAGAGCAGCCCTGCGGAGAAGAACTTGGGGGTGCTGGTCGACGAGAAAATGAACATGAGCTGGCTTCAGTGTGCACCTGCAGCCCAGAAAGCCAACCGTATCTCGGGCTGCATCAAAAGGAGCGTGACCAGCAGGTCGAAGGAGGTGATCCTGCCCCTCTACTCTGCTCTTGTGAGACCTCACCTGGAGTATTGTGTGCAGTTCTGGTGTCCTCAACATAAAAAGGATATGGAGCTGTTGGAACAGGTCCAGAGGAGGGCCACGAGGATGATCAGGGGACTGGAGCACCTCCCGTATGAAGACAGGCTGAGAAAGTTGGGGCTGTTCAGCCTGGAGAAGAGAAGGCTGCATGGAGACCTCATAGCAACCTTCCAGTATCTGAAGAGGGGCCTATGGGGATGCTGGAGAGGGACTCTTCATTAGAGACTGTAGTGACAGGACAAGGGGTAATGGGTTAAAACAGGGGAAGTTTATGTTGGATATAAGAAGGAAATTCTTTCCTGTTAGGGTGGTGAGGCACTGGAATAGGTTACCCAGGGAGGTTGTGAATGCTCCATCCCTGGCAGTGTTCAAGACCAGGGTGGACAAGGCCTTGGGTGGCACGGTTTAGTGTAAGGTGTCCCTGCCCACTGCAGGGGGGTTGGAACTTGATGATCTTAAGGTCCTTCCAACCCTAATGATTCTATGTTTCTTTTTAGGGATAAATGATGACAGAGGACAAGACTAATAATCTAAATATGCATACCTTCTTTTAGTATTTTTAAGGCATGATCAAATCCTCCTGGGGCCTTTCACAGACTGTCTAACCATCCAGTAGAGCTAAAGGCAATTCCCGTGGTGCTCCACCCAACCCTTGCTCTTTCAGACATTTAAATGCATTCAGGTTTATTCACAAGAAAGCTTTTCTGAAGAACAAGTTTCATGTCTGAGCCCAGCAATTAAGATTACCAATAGTTTCAGACACACACAAACTTGCAAAATCCATTCGATGCCAGAAGCAGGTATGGTGTGTTGCACCCATCATGGCAGAAGAGTTCAGAACTTTAGAGAGAGAGCAGCCAATGTGCAAAGAGCCTGGAGGTAACACTGCCGTCAAGTTTAGAGAGACAGGAATCATCTGATTGTCTCATAACAATTAAAAAAGAACTTTAAATTAAACAGTTATGAAGGAGAACAACAACTCTGGGCCATGTATTATGCTTCACAGGTTTCAACTAAACCATAAAGAACAAGAAATTAAGACTCCTGAAAGGCCTAGTAATTTTGTTGCTGTATTTATATTATTATCATGATCAATTCCATTTTGATTTTCATTTTTTAATCCAGAGGTGAGTTACTTAATCCGTTATAAAACTGTAAACAGAGCTGAACTGTTTGAGGTTGACAGCCACATTAAAAGATAAAAGAATTAGTGGCATCCTATACTAACAGTTTAGTGAAAACCCAGCGTTACATATTAGCACCTGAAAATTCAATCAGAAAAGCTGTCAATTTGTTGTAGCTTTGAGACTCAAAAAAAACCCCCAAACTCACCCTAAAACAAATCTCAATTTAACGCACATATGCACTACTTCACTAAATTCACAGAGAACACAGTAACAACAGTGGTCAAAGGGATGTGTCTTGCTGGAGCAGAGACAAGTTTACATGAACTGTGTTTTGCAAACTGTCAGGAACCACCACGTGTAAACCCATTACTTTGACACCTCATCTTACCTTACGATTGCTCTCTCAAAATTTAGCTCTGTTAAAACCTCCACTGCAAACCTAATCATGTATTAAGGAAACTACCACTGCTTGTAACATGGTCTCAAGAGTACAAGTAGAAAGACAGGAATTAACACCAGAAGTTACAAGAGAAAGGTGTCTTTGTTTGTTTAAGACTTACTTTGAAGATGTCATCTTGTGCACGACACTTTTGGCAGTCACCAACAAAAACAAATCCTTGCCATTAACGGAAGTAACTTTAAAGACAAGCAACCTGAGATCACTACACCTTCTTCTAGATTTTAACCACCACCCACTGGAATAAAAACAGCTATAGAAAGGAACTATGATTAACTGATGGCCAATCTAGAAAAACACATCACTAGCTAATGGCTTCACCTATAAATCAAGTCAATGCATGTTTAAATAATTTCTAATACCCTCATGAAGGAACTCAAAAACCTGCTACCACCAAGATGCCCCCCTTTTTGCACTGCCTTTTCCCATCACCTTACTTTATTTCATGATGGATTTTTCCCTAGACTTCTGTATCAAAGCTAGGGTTGTATCCTGCCCATTTTCCCACTTGGTATTAAAACAATTTAAACAGCGTGAATGGATTAAAACCACTCTCCTATGCACACAATCTCTTCTTGCTAGTAGCACAGTAGCATTTCCTTTGGCCTTGACTATGCCACTCACACCTACAAGGAACACTGCAGTAAATGTAATTTTCCAGACCTGTTCCTTTGACCAGATGCATCTTTATTTTCTTCTTAAGTCATAGGAGATGAGATCCTCGCCTATTTCATACTCCTTCTGAACACTGTCTCAAAACTACTATTTTGTCACAATGTCTACAAGGACTTTTGTACCAGTACCAAGCCTATTCTGTTGACCAGAATTGCCTAGGTGAAAACTACTCCTCTCTGCCTCTGGGACCACCAAGCACAGCAGAATCTCTGGTCTGCGACTGGCCTCCTGGGCTCTGTAATAAATACCTGTATTACTGCATGGAAGGGATACTCTAAAAAAAGCGTGCATTAAGTAAAAATAAGCTGCAACTTTGGTTTTAGGTGCCAAAGCAAACAAGATTAGTACTCCATAAAGAAAATAACCAAGTTATTTACCACTTTGGAGTTCTACCAAGTTATTTGATATAACCAAGCTAAAGCTGAGGATTTTAGTATATTTTCATTACAACTTGGTTTTGAGTAACTGGGTCTCAAGACAGCACTGTTCTTAGAAGAAAAAGAAGATGCAATCTCCAATACCTTTTCTCTACTTCTGGAGTAACAGTTGTTGATCATTCCATTTCACAACAGTGACCTTAACAAAAAATACTGAAGAAACAAGTATTTTGATAACAATTTCTCTGTGCTTAAGTGTTTCATAACAAATTTTGTGCTTGCAGAGATGCCACGTCATTCCGGACAGATTGTATTTCAAAATGGAAACCTATCAGGAAGGAATGTAGAGAATCATGCTTCCCAAATGAAGGGAAGACAGCTGACGGAAAAGCAGAGAACACACTCTGCTAACGGTCCAGCCTTCCTTACTCTTTTAGTTGGTAAAATAGCACTGGCATTACTTTTGAAGTCAACTGAAGCACGCTGTATATAAGGAACCGTAAGTTGCCATGAAGACTGATACAGAAAGTCTTTTCCTAGGGGAAAATAAAAACACACCAAACAAGCCCCAAAAGAGTCTGCATGGGGCTGTTGGAAGGAAGAAAGGAACAACAGAAAGGAGGAAGAAATTACTACAAATCGGCATCTTTTAATACAGGAAAACATCAGAGCTGTCGCAATTCCTACAAACTAAACAAAGAATCATACAGTTACTGTGGAAAAGGGGGAAGAGTCAAGTCAATTCTGTTTAGAGAAGGAAGGGAATACTATGTCAAAATCAAGAGGAATTTAATTTGATGAAGGAGAATCTACATTTCAATTTAGCCTTTGAACCACAGCAGGACATGCCAAGGGACATTTTTCATTCCATGTTTGTTCTTTACCTGGCAACAAAAATCTAAGCTTTTCCCCTGCTCTTCACTTAAGAGTGATCTTAGTACTATGTCAGAAAGCCAGTTTTACTGTTTGCATTAGTTCACGGCTAAATGATGGTGGCCACAATACAACAGAGCTCACCACACTCATGGAAGGAATCCTACCAAAACTAGCACCACACCGTTACACTTCAGAAACGGCCATTAAGACACCGGTGGTCCAAAAGATCCTCAATTCAAGAAGAGAGAGGAAATGAAAAGCTGCATGTTTAGCTCCCAGCTGAGTCTGAAAGTTGTGGAAGGTATACATACCACTTCACAAGGAAAGGGAACAGGAAGCCAGGGAAGAAAAGAGTCATTATGTTCAAATGGTAACATTTTCGTGGGGTTGCAAAGGCCAAATGAGCATACCTCTGAAAAATGTGAATCCAAGCCTGGGTAAAGAAACAGAAAGCAGAATAAGTGACAGCAGATCGGGGGAAAAAAGAACAACAAGAACTTCAGAAGAGCAGAGTTATCAAATCGGAGAATGTATCAAAATAAAGAGAAAAATCCTAAGAGCTGGTGCACAGAAATGGAAGAGTGCAATTAAATTTGATACCAGCCACTAGATAATAACAGCTGAGAAAGCAAGAATAGATTTCTTTGGAAAAGCCTCTCCCACACAGGATGCTGTCAAAAGATAAGTTCAAGATTAACTACTACTACTTCTACTGACTGACATGGTTACTAAAAGTTTTTTCTTCTCTTCTTTTGCTAACAGTAAGCCATCGTGTCCTCAAGATTTATGAAGAAATTGAAGAATGTAAGGGCTGAGCAGAAAACAGAAATATATAATGCTCATTAAAGCAAGCTACTCCAGCACAGGTAGAAAGTGTTTGTGAAACATGCCATAGGTGACAGGAAAAAAGACAAAGAAAGAAAAATAAATAAAAGTCAGTGAACTTCAGTACTAGAAGAAGTTTTTTAACATTAGCCACACAGAACCTCTTGCAGACCTGATGCTAGGCAAAAAAAGGAGCATAAGATAAGAAACAAGGAAAGAGAACCACTCTTCTCCATCAGACCCAAACTCACCATTAAATGTAAATGCCCATGCGTCTTGGAGCATATCAGCTTAACAGTTTAAAGGAAGTTTATGTAGACTCACTAGAAAGGTCATTTTGTAGTCTATAACAAAAAATTCCAAGGAATATAAATTTCATAATAAACCTATTTACAACTATATGCACACATCCATTCCCCACCACTGAGGAGGCGACGAAAAAACCTCAGAGGAGTAGCAGAGGAGTTAAAAAAGACAAACTGATGCCTGACAGAAACAATATTGGATTAAGTCACTGGAAATTAACCACTTTTTAGGTTAATTCTTTAGCTTTGCACCTGGCTGAATGAGAGAGCTGTGTCGACAGACAAGCTACTTCAGTTGCTGTGCAAGTCAGCAAAACTCAGGTCTGCATGGAAAAAAAGTCTCTTCCCTGGATGACAAAAGCTCTCAGCTGACAAAGTCCCATCAGTAACAAGGCTAGCACTAACATGCTGTGGGGACAGCAGTTCCATCAGTAGGATGCTCTGGATTCCCACCTGCCCTATAAATGATCTCCTGCAACACCATCTCTTCCAGCGTGGATGCCACTGCATTTCATCAATGCAGACAGCCATACAGTGACAGGAGCTCTGCAGAGCTCCAGCTGAACCAGCAGAAGTCTTTTAAACTAGGCAGGACCCCAAGAAGATGATCCTTCCATCAGCATACTATTACTCACAGTAAATGTAAAGAACATTTAAAAAACCCAAATGATATTGAAATCAAAAGTATGCAAAAAATACAGTCTTCTAATTAAAAAGAAGTTAGAAATACTGCCTAAAGAGGAATGGGAGTACTAAACTGAGTTTCAGCTTTAATTGACACCTCCCCCAAAGCAGTGGGCAGAGATGACAAGCAATGAAAAAGTGAGCAAAAGAAGAGCTCTGTACAACAACTCTGAAGACACCGGTACAATCTAAATTAATACAAGGACAAGGGGGAAGGCAGAAAAGAGATTTTTATATCATACTTATTTGGTAAAATGAAAACAAATTATTCCAAGTTTTAAGAAGAAAGGGATGAGGTTTTCATTTCAATTTCCTTGAAAGACCAACTAATGATCACAACTATAAATCACAACCATATTCAAACCAGATACACTATAAGCTATGGATTGGACAAAAGTTTTCTACCTACTTGAGATAGCTATAACCACTAAAACCATGTACTAAGTGTTCTGTGAAGACCATGTATCCAGATCTTCCCAATTCATTATACCTAGATGTAGCTTAATCTGCAAGGTTGTTTTGCTTTGCTAGCTAATTAATTGCTTTTCTTACCATAGGAAACATAAATAAATCACTTTGAATGAAAGCTTTATAAGATAATAATCTGCTCTGGACAGAGTATGATGCATTTATACATATGGGCATGTTCATGTATGTATAGATACACAGTTTGTATGTGGATGTATTCATAGAAAAACAAGCACACGTATATGTCCTGCTCTAAAAAAAAAAAAAAAAAGAACCCTGACAGAACTCAAGTTCTGAACTTGTCAGGTGGCAGACAAATAAAAGTTTCCAATGAAGCACAAAACAAAGCTCTTGGAGCTCCTGGAAGTCAAGCCAAGTCACCTTGAATGCAGAGTGCCAAACAAACAGCAATCAGTATTTTATCCTGGATTGACAGTTCCAGCTTTAGCTTCTAGCGTGTAGATCCATGTTATGAACATACCTCTTGCTGTCTCTTCAGAAGACAAGCTTGGAAAAGAATTCTTCCGAGTTTCAATTACTTTCAGGTTGCCAAGGACTGCAACAGGCTTACCTGCACTGCAGGACATGGGTAACTTCAACACAAGACTTGGCTTGTTGGCCAAGCACAGGAAACCCCCAAACAAGAGCAAAAGGAAGTTCTCTGGAACAAGAGGAAATTCTTTTGCTGCAGCACGCCTGGCTACTAAACCACAAAACCCATTCCTACCCCCTCAACAGCCAGTCACACGAACAGGGGGCAGAGCCCATCATGCCTCTGGCTGCTCCAAGAACTGCTGTTTCAGAACCTCACACACATATACGCATCAAACCAATAGGGCAGACTGAGGGGCTACACTCCATGGCAGCTTAAAACACGCTAACTCATGGCTACCAGAAAGCAATCGTGTCCCTTATGCCAGCTCATACGTTAATTCAGTGAGCTGATTCAAAGAGCTAAACCAGTCATAAACTAACTACAAAAGCAGAATAAACAAACACACAAACAAACCACATCCAAACAATTCTCAGCCATTTCTAGTTCCCTGATCTGGCTCACTGTGGGATCCTCGGAGCCATTAAAAGAGTGAGTTTGCAATGACAGTGGCTGGGAAGACAAGAATCACAGTAACTGTGAGCATTTTGTGTTACCTGCCATAGAAACGTACACTGTGTTGTACTAACCTGGATACTAACTGAGACAGATCCATCAGTTTCAGTGGATCCATGCTAATGATCTCCCATTTCACTTTTACTGCTACTGAACCTATTTCTTTTGGACAACAAGCGTAATAGCAAGTTGGGAGGAACACAGAAGAAAGGAGAGGATAGTCTACAGAGTATTCTACTTTTAAGGTTTGTCTATATGACAAAAAAGCAAGTAATTTAAGGTCTGGAATGGAGTGAACAACCACCTTGATCCTATGGAGCAAACAGCATGATGAATTTCTGGTCTGCTTCAAACAAAGCACGAACAGGTTAGCTCAAACAGCAGAATAATCTACTTGTGAGTTCATTCTCTGTCTTGGCCTCAAGTCAAGAACAGTCATAAAAGCTACCCTAAGAGCAGAGCCAGGGCAGCAGCCAGAGGTAGAGGGACTGTGTCAAGCAGCTGGACTCAGTAACCTTTTCTATGAGCACAGCTGGAAAAAAACACTTTGTCAATAGCCTTTAGACTACTGTTCTTCTGCTTTGTGTATTCAGGTTAAAGCTTCTTATGGCACTGATTAGTTGTACTTACAAAGCCCTCACACCGACAGCACCATATAATGTAACACAAAAATGTTAGAAGAGAAACAGCAGGGGAAGTTGGCACATCTGTACCTGCAATGAAGTTAGAGAACATGAGGCTCTCGAACTGACGTATTCTAGAAGCAAACACAAAATTTGCCAAGTTTGGGTTTTTTTTTTTTAAGATAAAAGGTTCTCTTCCATTTAGAATAACTACAAACATGCCAGATTTTAAAAAAGCCAAAAATAAATTAGTAACAGCATGAAGAAAAATAGCAACTCACAACAGAAGTGTTTAGACAGATTATTTTCCTTGCTCCCTCCCACCTTCTCAGTTGCATTGAAAGATATATCAATGTGGACTCAGAAGTATGCCATTTGAAGCTTAACTGTCTGACCCTTATAGATGTCCAACATGAAGACATGGTCTATAGTGCAAGGTTTTGAAATCAACTCATTCTTAAATATTTACAAATGTCTAGCGATAAAGACCAAATACACAAACCCACGCAATATTATTCTCTCAACAGCTGCCACATATTCCAATCCATCATTTCTAGGTTTTAAGATCGAGTTTAAGACTCTAGTTTTTAAGATCTTCAGTTACACCAATTATAAACCAAAATACAGACTCAGAAGGACAAAACACTTAACTCATTAGTGTTTAACAATCTTCAGAAGATATTTTCTACATGCAGTATTTCCAGTGAACTCACTAGAAGCTACACCTTTCCCTGTACTTCCTGTAACTTGTCATTTGACTTCATTTAGACAGCCTGTCGAAAGGCTTTTCCTCAAACACATAGAAAAAACCTCTTTTGCTATCTACTACCTACAAAGTTTGTATTACTAGGAAAAGTGGAATGATCCTGCCCTCTTGTCACTTTAGATCTGTTTTCTGTGGTTTAAAAAGCTCGTTTTTATGTGCAACTAATGGAGAACTTCTTTCTTCCTTTCAAAAAATACTTCCCACTCCTGTTTACTCTATTCTCTTATTCTTCCCTCCTTTATTTAGCCCATATGGGTATATTTTTCCAACATCTGATCAATACCTCTCCTTTTCTATTATTCCCCATTCTCTCTCTCTCCAGCTCTGTTCCTTACACACATCTCCCTTTACTAGTATTTTCACAATGACAGTTGCCCCTAATACCACACAGCATTTGAAACTGGAGATACCATTTGAAACTTCAGCTCCAGAAAGTGATAAGCCTGAATATTTTTCCATTGTAGCACAATGTAACCCCGTTTTGAGTAAAAGCACAAGGATCACAGCTCTGTCCATGAACATCAAAAGCACAGCACTGCATTTCAAGTTAACCATTTAAACCCAAATCAGAACATATTCTGCAGAAATCTGAATTTAGGGAAGCCCATTTTACTGCCAGTGGAGAAGCTAAAAGACATGATTACATACTGGTGT